AAAAATTTTGTATTTAGTAGGGTAAGTGATCTGAACTGATTTTTCGTTAAATTTCTTTATAATTTAAATTTTTATTATTTTTTCACAGGTTAAAAGTTTTGGAATGGGTTGGTAAAAATATAATAACTTGATCAATAAATGCATTTAACATAAAAATTATAAAATATAATTTAATCACAACATTTTGAATTGTTTAAATAAAGAACACAGAGAATTAATTAATTTTTAATTAAATTATTAACTCTCGATGCACTGTCAATCACAAACACTTGGCGAGATACTGAATTTCTTTACGGAATCTTCTAAACCCGCAACATAACACAAAAGAACGTGTATTTCTTTTGTCTCATTAGCGTGAAGACATTCAAATACACATTCATATTTCTAATAAACGGAAAAATCAAAATCAAAGAATCTTGCCAGGAAAACACGATAGAGAATCAAATATTCATAATTACATATAATGTTCATACGACGAAAATCATCTCTCCGAAGATTAGTGCTAACAGCATTGCTTATTACCATTAGTTTAACAATTGGGTCATTTCTACTAGCCATATTCAACCATTCGTGGAGTGGTGGAGGTGCTACAAATTCGTTACTGTTAAAAAGTAACCAGAAAACAAAAAGCACAGACAATGATAATGATACAGAGCAATTAACCTCACTACCATTATGTGATCGTTCCCTAACCTTTGTCTTAAGCGATTGCTGTGGTTTTCCCTTTCAAATGACTGCTCTAATCAACGCGATAATTTATGCAAAAGATACCGGACGTGCTTTTTTTCTTGATGATTCGAACTGGAATTATGGTCGTTGGAGTATCTTTTTTATGGAGTTATCAAAACCAGATTGCGTCCGTCCGGATAAAGGAATCGCAAATAATGATCAATTAAATAAAAACTATTATTATAACAGTGATGATGATCAAGTAGCGTTTGCAGAGTTCCCAGATCATCCATTAAAACCTAAAGAACTCGATCGAATGGATCTTTTATTCACAGAAGCACCACATCAAATAATGACTCGTTGGTCATGGCACTTATTGGATGAACATGTTGTTAAGACATACGTAAAAAATAATGATAACAACAGTAGTGACACAATAGATGAAGACAGGAATAAAATAATTAAAAAGGAATATGAAAAAATATTTAAAGAACAAGAATCGGTACTATTAAAAATTTGGCGACCAAATCGTGAATTACAACAATTGACACACGAACAGTCTCATGAGATTGGCATTCCGCATAACCATGGTGGAATGCGTCCTGAGAATTCTTATATCGCATTTCAAATACATCGTCCAAAAACTTTGGACTCATATTTATCAGCTGCAGATCAATACTTGAATAAAGTGGCTGAAAAAATGAATAAATTGAAAAATAACGAAAAAAGTAACGACGAAGTCACGGTTTTCATAACAAGCAGAAAAGAATTGTCAGAAGTACGACGAGCACTATCGTATAAAAGGCCCAATTGGCAATTTGTCACCTCATTCGAAGACGAACCAATGTACCGATTTGATGCTGCTCAGAAACCTCGACTAATGTCTTACCGACTAGATTCTCGAATAAATTTTGGGATGGCCTTCATTGCTGATATCACATTGATGTCTCAAGCGGATCATTTAGTGTGTACTTTCTCAACATCTTTATGTCGATTTTTGGTATTATTAAAAGGATGGAAGGCGAGCACAGTGAATCCATGGGAAGCCGGAGGAACTACACCAATTGATGAGGATACTAGTCATGGATGGTTCCCAACTTTGTTCCTCGTTTCTAAAGATGGCCAATTGACTAATCCTCATAACGTTTATTGGATAAATAAAAAGGCATCATCTTATCGTAATAATAAATTTGATATGTTGGCAAATTAGAAAGAATCATATTAAACATATATAGAAAGTATTACGAATTTCTGTAAAAAAATCATTATATAAGAATTAATTAATCACCTGTAAAAACATATTGTATTCATCACTATAGAATCATACTTTTTAATTCATCACTATAGAATCAGACTTTTTTAATTCATCACTATAGAATCATGCTTTTTTAATTAGCGAGTTAACTATTTCCCTTTGTTCGATCCAAGAACTTGTAGATTTTCTTAGTATTGTTGGGGATTTCTTTTCAAATAAAACAATATACACATCACCAATAACGAGTAAACATACGAAAAATAACAGTCAATCCTTTTTTTCTGTGAATTTTTAATGATATACAAATTTTTTAAGTGTCTAATACGCATACACGTTTTATATAACAATAGTAATTGTTTTCCGGAAACAAAAATTAAGGTTACGTATATGCTGTGTAAGATAAGAAAACAAGCTACTATCGGTGTATATTGATTGCTATTTTTGAGATTAATATAATAATAAGATTACTAAAAATTTACAAAAACTACATTAATAATGACAAAAGTCAAGAGGAATAATATCAAAGGGGAAGAGGGAGGATTGATCATTGTGATTAATCTTGCATTAATAAAAAGT